TGTACTTATTTGTGTACCACTATCTGCGGATATACTTTCGTACATTTGTACATTAGTATCAATACCTGTTGTTGTTTCGATATTTTTACCTCTATTTATATCTTTAGTTTCCTCTGCTACTGTCAATACTCCTATAGTTTTTTCTTCTTCAGTTAGACCTTGTAAAAATGCAGTGACTTTCCAATCTCTAGAACTTTTTAATGTTCCCAAATATGTTACAAAATTATTATTAAAATTTTCAAGTAATGATCTAAATGTCGTGTTATAATTGCTTTGATGTTTTTCTAAGGCTCTAATTTTATCTCTGAAATCCCAATATTTTGAAGCGTTTGGTGCTGGGGTGCTAAGAAATGTGTTATATTTTTCATATAGTATATCAAGCTCTTTCAGCATTCTAAATATATCTTCATTAAGATCATTAGGATAATAATCATTGCACAGAGAAAATAAGCTAGTAATCTCTGTACTCAAATTCGAAAATCTAAAACTCTTCATTACACCATAGCAACTATTTGGGTCATTACACATGCATGGGAATTTTTTAAATAGATCTTTTATCTTGTAAAAGAAGTATTTACAACTTCGTTCTGGATTTGTGTCGTCCTTGGATTTATTATTATTTATATAATTTAAATAGTAAAGAATATCCATGCAAGCTATATTAAAATTCTGCCCATTACTAGGACATGATATTCGTGTATAAAATTTAGCACAGTACCTCGAATAATCTGTATGAAGCCCATGTGGTCTATTCTTAACTGAACTAATGAATTCATTTCTACATTTGGGTAATATATCCTTAAAATTAAACTAAGTAATGAATGTCAAAAATATTTAAAATTTTAAAATATATATTTATAATTTTTCGCGAATTTATGTCTTTTAAACTTATGTAATATAAATTATAATTCTATGAAAACGTGTAGACATGAATTGCCATTTACATCAGAAGATGCACTCAATATGATTATATGTGTAATTAATACAAACAATTTTATATATATTATAGAAAACATTGTTCATTGAAAATATTGGGAAAATATATTATATTGATATATCATATATTAATTCAAATAATTTATAAATTTTACAAAAAAAATTTTAATTATATTTTTATTTTTCTACTATTATATATCAATTTATTGTAATATTTCTCGTTCTTGTTGGCATCCATATTTTTTTATGTATATTGGTAGTAGTAAAAACTAATCAGAAAACTAGAAAGTATGTACTACTATAAAATAATAAACATTAGTCATATATTATTTTTATGCATATAACACTATGATAATAATGTAGTAATTCCATGTAAGAAATTAAGAATAATGCATATTCATATAATCAATAACATTAAACGAACACGTTTATTTATATATATTTAATTTCTTTTGTGAGTATACTTATAAAATATAAATATTTAGTACTTATGGTATAAATTATAATATTCCTATTATTCTTACATATTAGGTTTACAACTACAATATTATGACTTAAAATAATTTGCTTAAACTATGCTTTAATATATTAATCAATATTCACTAATGATATAATATTATATATATTTCCATTCGAGTGTAAAACGTAATTTAATTTAATAATATAATCATATACGTACACTAAATTATTCTTAATTAATATATTTATTGTGCATAATTTTTTTTATCGTATGATCACTTTTATAAAATAGAAGATAATATAATTACTACAAAAATACATATCTTTTTGATATAAAAAATAAAATTATAATTAAATAGTTATGAATAATTAACTTATTGAATTACATGTCCCTATGATTTGTTGTGTCCAATAATAAAAATCAAAATAAAAAATCTAGTTAATGTTCATGAAACCTTAATTTTAAGATATATGAAACTTATATATTAACATTATATGACATTAATAACAATATAATTAATTTTTAAGACTTTTTTAATATTTATATGTTTTTTTTCCTTTGTAAGCTATAATAACTATAATTATTTTTTTACTCTATGATGAATGAAAAATATTTGCATATCATTTAAAATATTAAATTATAAATTACATTTGTACAAGTAGGAATGAATGCTAATTCGAACATTTCAATATATCACTGCGAATAAAATATAACACATATTTAGTTTAATATTATATATATTTTATTTTGCTAACATTAACCATTGAATTCCATAAAGGTATAAGAAACATATAGAACAGCCAATTGCATTACATAGAAAATGTCATCATATTTTTGTTAAATTTTATCTATGTTAAAATTCTTTTCTAGAAGTAACAACTTAATATATTATAATAATTTTTAAAACAAAGCTAAATGGCTATTTCACTAAAATATAAGAAAACCTTGAATTAGAGATTTTACTAATATCATCTGATTAGTATCATCACAAAAAGACTTTGATTGTTTGAAAACAATATATGCATTGTTTTTTGTAATAAAAATGAGAAATTTTATTCAATATTTCCTTTTTGCTTAAGAAACATTATTTTTTTATAATTATATCATAAGAAGAAATTAATCCTTGTTTATTATTATAACACGTAGTAGTGTTAATTTTTTATTATAAGAAAATAATAGGGAACAAAGCAAATTATTACTTTATCTCATTAATGATGTATAAAATTAAACAATACATATATATATAATATTTTTTTTTGGATAATAGTGAACTAAGGTATATTATATAATATATATTTACAAAAATTATGTACAATATTATTTTATTTCCAGCTTAAGGTTTATAAAGACATATTTAAATAAAGGAAATTAAGGAACTGTATTCTCAACGAAATTAATATATAGAATAAGTTATATATGCTATAGAAAGAGGGGAATGATATATGAAATGGTATAATATATTTTTTTTCCATCTCTTCCTAATAAATATATTATTTCATTATGTATATTTTTCATTCATCAGTATATTAATGTTGTAAAAAATTTCTATATTAGATTATTGAAGATACATTTAGTGTCGCAATAATGAATTTTTTTTTTTTTTTTATTCAAAACTGTATTTAGATATTAGCATATATGTTAAAAAATCATTTTATGACCTCATGAAAAAAATTAATACATATTATTCCTTTTATCCACTACAGACTTTTTTAGCACAATATTAACAAAAATATATAAATCATTAACAATAATGCATTTATTTGATGAATCTAATGGTTAAGAAAAATAAATCTGGTTTATTCGCATAGGTTAAAATTCATATATAAATTAATTAATACAGTGTATTTGTAAAAATGAATTAGATTGAGTTCATAATCATAATAATATCAATGAATATAATTTAAAAATATTAATAAAATAATATTATATATTTATGTGGATATGTTATATCCTTCGTGCCTATATAATTATATATTTATCTGCAAAAATTTTATTTTATTTTAACAATATTCTGTTAAAAATTGTAATTACATATTTGTCTCAAATCATTCAAGTGCATATATTTTTCGATGATTTTAATTAAATTATTATTATGTATATAACTAAAATATTAGAGTAGCTCGGTGTATACGTAAAGGATTATACATATTATCTATAAATCATATAAAACTTCTTCTCTTTCTCTAATTAATTGTGATATGCCAATAATAACGTAATTCACATTTATGTTAGATATAATAATGCAAAAAAAATGCGTGTTCAAATTTTTTTTTTTGGTTAATTTTTTCTGCTCTTGCGTAAAAAAAATTTCTTAGTAACTATAAAACTATATAATTTTCAAGGGAATTATGTACTTTTTATTTTTCTTAACGTTTAATCGATAGAATTAATGAATAAAATATACACCTTTTACTTTATGCTTATTATTACTTTAAAAAAATCATGAATACATTATTTTAATATTATATGATCTTACATTTTTACAAGAAGACAGAACATTAATATATTGTTTATGAAATAGTCTATGTCTTATTTAATAGACAACATCTATAGAATCAACATCAAGAATTATAACACAACGCGTATTATTTTGGTTACTTTTACATTCTTTTATTTCATGAATGAAATTCTGAATTAAGAGTAATACTATTGCATAAATATATGCTACTACACCAAATTAAATGCTATATTTTGTATCTCTTGTTTACTATAATTTCTACATGAACTTCAATTTTTCAATTATTTTTTATTAATCGAAGTTATTTAAACAATTATATATATTAATTTTTATTGCTTTTCCTTTCTAAAAGTTTTCTAAATGTTGTATGAAATGCAATGATGGTGCAATTATAAACCCTATGCTTCTTTACATGTGTATAATTTCTATAATGTAAGCGAATAATAATGTTAGGATAAATAACACATTTTGTATTTTATTTATTTCTTATAATAAAATATTTGTTTTTTACCAAGCCAATTTTTTTTAATATTGTTATTTAGTATAATAAGTAATATAATTTTTATAGTATTATAGCATATTATTATAAATTATCGCACTTTTTATATACTTCTGAATATTACTTTACAATTCGCCATTTTTAATGCGACTCTATTTGTTATTTTTACGAGGTTTAATATATGTTAAGTAATTAAAAAATTAGAATAAATAAAACGAATAATATTTTTCCACATATTTGGTTTGAACTTTAATTGTGCACTGAAATATTTAGATTTATTTTGAACTAAAGAAAAAAGAACCTTTGTTTATATTGCATAATCAGGCTAGAAATATGTTTTATATGTATATTTCATCATATTTTATTAATGGACATTTCAGAAGTAACCTTTTATAAAAATGAATAATGAAGTATTAATAACATCAGAATTTATATGTAGAAGTAAATACTTATAATTATTCCCAATAATATAAATATAATATATATATATGATTGCGTAATTTAATTCTCTATTTTTATTTCTTTATACTTTATCAAAAGAGAGATAGGAGTGTGACAAATAATCATATAAATATGTCCTCATTTTTACGTGTATATATTTATTATCCATTTATTATAAAAATGTAAATATAAATATTAATAATAATTCAAAAGGTTTAAAATATCTACTGAAGTATTATTTGTGTGATAATAACAACCTAACAATAATAATTTAACTATCTGAAGGATATAAATATGAATGAATACATAAGATGCTATTTAATTTTATAATAAAGTATACATATAATAAATGTTGTACATTTTCTTTTAGAATATTAACAATTTTTACATCAGTAAAATTTTTGATATTTACTTTGTAATTTACTTATTTTAGAATAATATTTTGATTAAATATATTACTTTTACTTATAAATTTATTTTAATAAATAAAGTAATAAATACAATATTCATTTGTGTAATTTTTTTTCATTTTAATATAAATTACATATGCAGGCTAATATTCGATAAAATAATTATTTAAGTCATATATACTTAAATCTTATTAGTTTTCATTCTATAAAAAATTCTTTTGAATGTTTTATTTTTTAAAAGGTGATTAATAAAAATCTAAATAGTCATAGCTAATTTTTAATGGTGAATTTATAAATGGTATTATATTTTTCAATAAAAAAATATAACATGATAAATATAAATAAAATTAAATATAATAATCATACACGACAAGTATTAAGGGATATCGTTATATTTCATATTATTATTATTTTTGTATTATTATAATATTTAATATTTATAATTACTTTTTCATTACAAACTATATATATATTCAAATGAAAACATTAACGGATTAGCTTATTTTTTTTTGTTTATAAATAATATTCATATGTGTGTTTTCTAAAAATAAAAACTAATAATAAAGTATTTTATTTAAATATTCATAAAATTATACATGTGTGAGTCCCTTAAAAATATTAAATACTTCTATATATTAAATATTTATTCCAAATATATACTAATAGTATACTGTTAGAAATATATTTTTTAAAAATTTATTTGTATGTTCATATAAGTCTAATACAAAATATAAATATATATATAATTTAAATAGTATCTCTGAAAAGTAGTACATAATATATATCTTTTTATATAATATAATAATGATAAA